CACTTGAACACTTATTAAAAACTCACTTTCCGGTAACCAGGAACCGGAGCCAAAAACACGTTATTCTGTTCTTCCAGCGTGACGCTGGAATGGAGCGGATAGACTTGTAACCTAAGGAAAAGAAGTTGAGAAAACTCTTGTCTTTATTTCCGATTGATATGTTGACAGCCATTCAACCACAGTCACTGAGGAGTGTGCCCTGGAACATCTTCTGGTCAAACTCAGACCATCTCCTGGCTAGAGTACCCGCTGGTTACTACCCCTATACCGGGATTTGATTAGATTACCGCCATAGTTGGTTCTGTAATTGTTGTTGCTCACTTGTTTGAACTGATATTGTATTTATTAATTGTTTTAATTTTTGTTATGTTATTTAATCTTTTATTAGCCACCTTGAGCCTGCTTGTCAGGCAAGGCGGGGTATAAATATAAATAATAAATAAAATAAATAAATAAATTCCCAAAGCAGCTGACCGAAAAAAAATAAAGATTTAAAAACTACATCCCTAAAAATCACAACAGGACAGTAACAGGTAAATACACCTTTAAGAATATTAAAATAAAACATCTAATTGAAGGCCTTCTGGAAAGATAATATAAGGAGAGCCCTGATAGATCACAAGTGGTCCATCTAGTTGATCCTGTCTCACACAGCTGCCAACCAGTGCCTCTGGAGATGCAGCAACAGGGCCTCCCCCTGAGAGGCTGACTCCTTGGATGATGATTAAAGTTGCCAACTTCAAGGTGACACTTGGAGATCTCTCACCATTATAACTCATTTCCAGACAACCAAGATCAGTTCCCCTGGAGAAAATGGCTGCTTTGGCGTGTGGACTCTATACGGCATTATACCCTGCTGAGGTTCTCCCCCCCCCCTCCCCCAACCCCCACCCTCCCCAAGCTCCACCCCCAAAACCTCCAGGTATTTCCCAACCCAGAGCTGGGAACCCTAACTAATGATAGAGTCCAGGCAAGAAGATATGAGCAGAAGTGGCTTTTCAAGTAATTTGCACACAAAAGCTTTAAAAACTAGAGCAGCACTTTGAAATGAGTTTGGAAACAAATGACAGAGCCCCGACCTCTCCCGAAATTGGTTCTGTGAAATTATATCAAGACCATTTTCCTCCCCTTCCTCCAATTTCATCCCACTCCTGCTATTGAGCGTGGTTAATGCATGGCATGCAAGGAAAGAGAGAACCCACTGTAGTTCTACTAGCTACTAGCTGGTGTGGAGAGTCAGTTTGGTGTAGTGGTTAAGTGTGCAGACTCTAATCTGGGAGAACCGGGTTTGATTCCCCACTCCTCCACTTGCACCTGCTGATGTGACCTTGGGTCAGTCACAAGCTCTGGCACAGCTGTCCTTGAAAAAGAGCAGTTTGTGTCAGAGTTCTCTCAGCCCCACCCACCTCACAGGGTGTCTGTTTTGGGGAGGGGAAGGGAAAGCCGCTCTGAGACTCCAAGTGAAGGGCGGGGTATAAATCCAATCTCTTCTCTTCTTCTTCTATCACCACTGCTCCTGTGAATTCTATGCCAAGCCTGAGACAGATTCCAACCCACCTTTTATGGACCATGTTTGTAAGCAGTTCGTGCATGTAGTTTATTTCTGCCAAACCTAGAGGATTAAAAAACAAAAACAACAATTTATTCGGGTAGTTAAACACTGATGAAGAAAAACCGGGCTGCACCCAGCAATGTGCCAATAGAACAAAAGGGGGAAATACCAAGTAACAGATGACTGATTCATTATACAAAGTCCCTACATGTTTTGCTGTGCAGGCTTCATCAGGGGGAATCAGAGCATTCACCTAGTGCTGGAACAGTCCACAAATTGCTGTGGACAGTTCCAGCACTAGGCAAATTGCTGTGGACAGTTCCAGCACTAGGTGAATGTTTTGATTCCCCCTGACGAAAGCTGCACGGTGAAACGCGTAGGGACTTTGTATAATAAAGCAGTCATCTATCACCTGGCATTTTTCCCTTTTTGTTCAGTTAGCTAAACATTGCACATTTATTCTAAGCTACTAAAGAGGAAAGAGCCGTTGCAGTCATCTGGGAGGTGCTCTAAGTACCAACAATTCCCCCCCTACAAGCATCCGGTTATCTCCTAGTTCGTGCTACAGAAGTTGCTGCTTTGACGCTCCAGCAAAATGTCTGAATTGTGGCCTGTATCTGCATTTCCCATATCTGCTATCAAGACTGCATTACCAGTAGCTTCGTTTTCTTCAGTTCTCACACAGCTGGTGTAGGTCTACTGTTCACTGTACCTTAAAGGGGAGGGGAGAGGCCAGAGATGTGGGCAGCTATGTCTAAATTTAGGTGAGGGGAGAGGACACACAAACGTATACGATAGTTTACAAAGGGATGTCAAATTCGGTCCCCATGACCGGAAAGAAACCTCCCGAGAAGCCATATCCAATATAAATAATAGCTGTTGCCTTTTGCCTGATGTGGAGAAAGTGGATAGACAGAACTCCCTCCTCACCAAAAAATACTAGAACCCAAGGGCACCCAATAAAAGTCTATGGATGGTAGATTTCGTATAGGTGAAAGGAAAGTACTTTCCCCAGAAACTAGATTTGAGTCCGGTAGCACCTTAGAGACCAACAAGATTTGGGGGGGGGGAGGGAGGGTATAAGCTTTTGAGAGTCAGATCTCCCTTCCTCAGATACAGGAGCTTTGATTCTCGAAAGCTTATACCCCCAAAACTCTTGTTGGCTTCTAAAGTGCTGCTGGACTGAAATCTAGCTGTTCTACTGCACTTCAACATGACTACCCTCTGAAACTTTCTACACATAGTTTGGTTAACTTGTAAAGCTTGATGAGAGGACGCAACGATGACTAGGGGTGGGCACGAACTGGGAAGGTGCGGTTCGGTTTGTGGCCGAAACACGAACCAAATAACAAACTGAACCAGTAGGTCTGTTCACAAACCAAACCAGTTTGTGGTTTGTGTTCCCACAAAGCCCATTGAAAGGGACTGCAGTCCTTTTCAGTGGGGTTTGCAGAACCCCCAAAAAACAGCTGAGCAGCAAGGAGCAGCCTGCTCCTCACTGCTCAGCTGTTTTGGGCTGTCTTGTTCAGTCCCTTTAAACTCCCCACTGGACAGCTGTTTTGGATTCCCTTCTTCAGTCCCTTTAGATGGGAGCATTTAAAGGGACAGCACAAGGGAGCCCAATACAGCTGAGCCCTCAGAGAAAAGTCTCTGCTTTGGGCACTCTTGTGCAGCCCCTTTAGATTTCTCCCTGTGGGCTCAGCTGTATTGGGCTCCCTTGTGTAGCCCCATTTAAAGAGGCTGCACAAGAGAGTATGAAGCTGGCTGGCGGGGAAACTTCTCTTCGCAGGCTCAGCTATATTGGGTTTCCTTGTGCAGACCCTTTAAGCACACCCATCTAAAAGGACTGCATATAAGGATTCCGGTCTGGCTCCCGCGAAAGGCAGACGCATCCTCGGGTCGCTCCCGAGGGCGCCTTGCCCGCCCGCGGTGGAGGAGGGAATCCGCGCAAGCGGAGACCCGAACGAGCCCCTCAGATGAGAGGAGCTCGGATCCGGGGCGCTTTAGGGCGTTCCAGGGGGGAGTCTCTCTTTCGGTCGAAAGATCGGAGATTGAGACTCTCGCCATGCCCTGCCCCTTTGGACCTTGCTGCGTGAGCGACCCCGTTCTACGGGGTTTAGCGGAACCACCGGGCGTCACCGAGTGATGAAGCGAATATCCGAAAAAAATGGAAAAGAAAAGACTGGCGTAACTGTGAGTTGTCAAAATATAGAGAAAAAGAACGTTTCCCCCCCCCTTCAGCGGAAAATGAGGAGATTAATCCTCTATAAGCGAGAAAGAAAAAAAAGAAAAGAGGGGGGGAATGGACTGAGCGAATAGTGATGTTTTCCTTTGATGTACTTGAAAATAAGCAAGAGGTTTTGTTTCCCTGGAGCGCATTTTAAAAACTTTACTAAAAATAAAAAAACAAGATGTCGGAGCTGGGTAAAGACAAGCGGGGGAGAAGGGAGGGACTTCCGTCTGGGCGTTTGTGTCAACGTGAGTGCCGGCTGTTTAATATTTGGACTGTGTATGGCTATGAATCCAACGGGGATTGTGAAGGAAAAGAAAAGCTTGAATTGTGACAGCGAAAAGTGCCTCATGAGCGCTTATAAAAGTCAACAATTGAAGAGGAGAATCCAGCGAAGGGATTGGGAGCGGATAAAAGCGAAATTGAAATTAATACCATTCTCAAAGCTGGAGATCTCCGGGCATGGCATGAAAGGAAGACAGCTTACAGCACAGGAACTGAAAGAGTTAACAGCGACCCGAAGGAGGAGGGGAAGAAGCCGGAGGCAAGAGAAAAACAGAGGAAGCCCCTCCCGTCACTGAGAGGGGAAAAGTAACCAGCGCGTTAAAGAAGCGGTTCTGAATGTGCCTTGAAGAGACTTTTTAACAGAAATTCAAAGGAACATTACTAACAAATTAACATAGAAAGTAACTGGAATGGAAAAAAGATGTTTGACAACACGCAGAAGAAGCCTTTGATGATTGGACATTACTAACAGTTTAATCTAACAGTTAATACATCACTCAGCTTTCTCTTTCTCCCACTATATACCCTCCTTATCTTTCTTTTTAAGCGAAACTCCTCCCCTTTTTAGGGGAGTCAATAAAATCTTTATAAAAAAAAATAATAATAAAAGGACTGCATATAAGAGCCCAAAACAGCTGACCGGTGGGGAGACTGTTCCCCACTGGCTTAGCTATTTTTTGGGTTGCCTACTGCAGTCCCTTTAAAGTTTAAAGGGACTGCAGTAGACAACTCAAAAATACCCTTTAAAGTTTAAAGGGACTGCACAAGACAGCCTGAAACAGCTGTTTTTTGAGCTGACTTCTGCAGTCCCTTTAAACTTTGAAGAGACTGCACAAGACAGCCTAAAATGGCTGAGTGGTGGGGAACGCTCAGCTGTTTCTGTAGTTTTTGCAGGGAACAGAAAGCAGGACTTTGAAGGGACGTGGAGTCCCTTTAAACCCTTGCTTTGTGCTCTATCCAAAAACCACCACAAACTGCTTTAAAAGTTAATGAATGTTCGTGATGGTAGACCTGTCACAAACTTCTGTTCACAAGCCAAGAACAGGGCAAAATTTGTGATGAGTTTTGCTTCATGGTTTGGTTCGTGCCCATCCCTAGAGATGACTGCTATCTTAGGCAGCCTTAAAAAGGGATGAGACAAGCACATGGAGAATAAATTCATCTATGGATAGCAGCCATGATGCATCAATGGGACTTCGATGTTCAGAGGCAGTATACCTCTGAGTATCAGTGCTGGGGGTCAAATGGGGGCGGACTTTTGGCCATTGGGAGAAACAGGATGATGAGCTAGGTGACCTGATCCAGCGGGACTCTTTGTATACTGGAGAGAGGGGTTATCTGAAGTTTTATTTTATATGTCTTAGATTGCAATGTTTTGATTGATTTTGTAAGCCACCTTGAGGGGCATGGAAAAAATGGGACAGATATTTAAATATATAAATAAGTTTTTAAAAATTAATCTAGGCCTAAGAAGTTTTTTCTAATCCATAATGTCAAATAGCTGCCAGCAAAAGATCTATCTATTATTTTAGGCAGGTTTGGCTAATCCAGAAGCATTCTATCAGTCACAGGGACTGATATTCATAACTTCTTACATGGAAGAGACTTCCAAGGCCTGAGAATGTGCAAACCATGACGGCTTAACCAGATTCTCAGTCTGAAACCTTGTTTCCCATTCCAAGTCCTGAAGTGTTTGCAAGAGTAACTATACTGAAGTGGATCAAGATAGGTAGCCGTGTCTGTAGGATAGCCGTGTCTGTAGCAGAAGAAAAGTGCAAGAGCTCAATAGCACCTTAAAGACTAACAACATTCATTCATTCATTTTATTACGGTCAGTGGTGCAAACTTTACAGGTACTGTACAGGAAGTGTTCCCTCTAAGCTGAGTTAGTGTGAGCTAGCTCACAGTTTTTTAGCCTCCAGCTCACACCTTTTTGTCTTAGCTCAGGAAGGAGGGCTCCAGAGCAGACTAATTTATGCAGTAGCCAAATAGCTCACTCACACCTCCAAAGCCAATAGCTCACAAAGTAGAATTTTTGTTCACAAGACTCCACAGCTTAGAGGGAACATTGTATACAGGTAGAGATATCTGAAGAAGTGAGCAGTGACTCATGAAAGCTCACACCCTGCCACAAATTTTGTTAGTCTTTAAGGTGCTACTGGACTCTTGCTCTTTTCTATACTGAAGTGGACATTTTAATAAAAGCAAACAGCTGGTTGTCAGAAAAAAAGAATTTCAGAACTCACCTGGTAAGAACACCAACACACTGCCACGATCTGACATAAGATCCAAACAGTGTTGCTCCATCCTGATATACAAAAGTTACAGCTTGCATTAGTTTCAGCCTACATGGCTTACAGAACAGACTGGCCACTAACACACATTTATTTATTAGATTCCTTAGTTGCCACTCACCCAAAGGGTCTCGTGGTGACTTACAACACTAAAACCAACAAGGTAAAAACAATATAATAACAAATAAAAAATATTAACATTAAAATATTGAAATAAGTGTCTATGACCAGGGGTCATTTCCTGTGGGCGCGCACAGGAGCGGAGCTCCGGCAGTAAGGAGCCCAGGGGGCGGGCACATGTAACAAGCCCCGCTCCCTGCTCCCAGCAGCCCTCAGTCAGGCCAGGAGGAGCAAGAAGCAGCCAGGTAAGTTGCAGAGCCCCCCCAGCTTGCCTTCAGGTACAAGCTCTCCCTCCTCTGTGAGGGCAGATCTGTGCGTGTCCCCCCCCCCAATAGCTAGCAATCCAAAACAGTCCAGTGGAGCCTGAGTGGTGGGTGTTGCCTTCTGACACACTTCCGGTGATGTCAGGGGGTGTGGCATATGCAAATAAGTTATGCTAATGAGGCTCCTGCACCTCTTTTTCTACGAAATGACCCCTGGCTATGACCATCCCCTGTTACTATTATTCAGTTAATTGAACAAATGCATTTTTATCAGAAACACTGCTTTGAAAGACCACATGCACAAACACTAAAAAACGAGAAGCCTCCTATAACCTCGCCAGTAGGAAAAGCATACTTACTCCATCATGCAGCGTTACAAGCTTTTACATAATTCTTTCTCCTGCGTCTACTTACTAAACGAGTGCTTACACTTGGTCCTAACTAGAAAAACTCTGTCTGTACATGACAAACAGGAACATGAAATCGTTCCAATTCCTTGGGATCAATTCTAACAATAGTCTTTAAAAAAAATCTTGCAATTTAAATCTGCAGGGAGATATGCTGGAAAAAACCTGCGTGATATCGAATCAACCACCAGATGGAGCAAAACTCAAGCAGAAAAGACCCCCCCCCCCAAAAAAAACAGTAGGAACTCACCATCAAGTAAAATTAGAATGCGGAAAAGGGCCCCCAAATGGGAAAGGCAGGCTATAAATAAGATCTTGGATACAAAACTCTGGTCATTACAAATTTGGTGTTCCAAGCTTAGGTAATAAAAAACCACACTATCTATGACATTCAGAACTCACTAGCTCGATACAGACACACGCACCCACCACATGTTCACTCAACATACAGAGGGAACTGTGGGCACTAGTTCACTGGACCTGCCCCCTATCTCAACACAATCTTCAAGTGGTCTGCATTAAGTGCACATGTGGAGGAGGTGCCACACACACACCCTCTTGCCCAGGGATCAGCAACATTCCAAAACCAACATCACTGATCACGGGGAGGGGGCACACACAGAGGCCCTTTTCTTTTTTCTTTCTTTTTTTGCGGCATGAGATGCGGGACGTGGGGCTTGGGCAACCCGCGTGCCCTGCCGTCCATGCAGGTGGGGGTGGTGGGTGTCCAGAGTCTTTGACCCTCCGCCCCGGAGGGCAACAGGCCCATTTCTTCATGCAGCTATCCCGAGCAGACCGCGTGGCAATGACACGGAGGTTAGCATGTTTGAACCCAACTACTGCCTCCCCACGCGGTAAGTGAAAATGTAGGGGAAGTGCCTGTACCAGGCTACTGTTTTGCAATGGAAGGGCAACACGTGTGTTTTCCAGGTTTGGTATACCCGAGACCCTCCCCCCCCAAACCCTGAGAGCCAGACTGTAAGTGACACTGAATGTGAGTTTGCTCCAGTGCTTGGGAACTCATGTGTTTCTTACCCTTCTGCTGTGCATTCACCGCTGCAATCACATGTGCTACCGTTCCTGTGTTCTCCAACCACAGGTTTTACAATTAGGCCATCAAGTGGTTGAAGAAACAATAGCAAGGAAATGGACTTGTAACCAGCTGAACACGTGGATGTGCTGTCAGATGTTCAGGTGGTTGAGCGGGCAGCACAGACATGTGGAACACTGCCAGGAAGATGAACAAGTAGAGCCATGGCTACATGTTAAAGGACACTCAGGCAATACGCGATGCAATATGTGTACAATGGCACTTATATTTTAGCTCCAGGTTTCTCACTGTACACACCAAAGCTATAAAATATACACATTACCTTCTTCAGAAAAAATGGTGACCGTCTGTATTGAGACAACTGCACATAGTGCAATCTCCCCCTAATGCACAGCTGGAATCACCAAAATTTTAATAACTGACCGTGGGCTACCTGTGCAGATGTAAGACTATGGTTAAAGCCATGCGGGAGAGACTAGTGACTATTGTACCACTAATCTGATCATTTTTATGACTGTTGCTAAACTGAATTATTGTGTATGCTATAGTTTTAGCTGCTGTACTGTGTTTTTTAAATAAATCATTGCTGCTACCTTTGTATTTCATTGTTTTAGTGCTCTTACTGCTGCTGCTGATTTTAATAGTCTAGATTGTTTTGATGACTATGCTGATCACACAACCCTCCTCTCAGAAACTAAAGGAGGCCTGGAATACCTGATCAAGAAAATCAAAGAGGAAAGTGAGAAGTTTGGCCTCTTCCTAAACATCAAAATGACCAAGTTCATGACCACCAAGAAGAGAAACTTCAAAATAACAGTTGACGATGAAGAGATCAAATGTGTGGAAGAATTCACTTTCTTAGGATCACAGATCAAACAAAACGGTGAATGCAGTCCCGAAATAAAACATCGAATCACGCTGGGTCGCACAGCAATGATGAACATAAATCGAATATGGAAGAGTAAGGACATCAGCCTGTCAACCAAATGCAGATTAGTCTGTGCTACTGTGTTTCCCATAGTAACCTATCGCTCCAAAAGTTGGACCCTGAAGAAGCAAGACAGGAGGAAAATTGACTCATTTGAGCTGTGGTGCTGGAGAAGGCTCCTGTGCATTCCTTGGACAGCAAAGGTGACAAACAAGCAAGTATTGGGGCACATAAAAACAGATATGTCATTGGAATGAAAAATCCTAAAACTGCGACTGAGTTATTTTGGCCATGTCATGCAGAAGAACTCACTAGAAAAACCAATTATGCTTGGATTGGTTAGCAGCTAAAGAAAACAGGGCCGCCAAAGAACACGGTGGCTAGACACCATAAAAGTCAACACCAGCCTGAGCATGGAACGACTCAAAGAAACAGTACAAGATCGGAAAATGTGGAGACAGCAGGCCCATAGAATCGCCAAGGACACAACTGAATGGCTAACAACAAAAACCCCTGCTTTTAGCTTGTAATACCATCTCAAGAACATCACGGTTGACGGGCTGCATAGAAATGGCAAACCACACCAGGGAGAGGGCCGATCAGAGCCAGCATGGTGCAGTAATGACATTGCTGGACTAGGCTCTGGGAAACCCAGGTTCAAACCTCCAATCTGCCACAGAAGCTCACCTTGGGCCAGTTGCATGCTCTCAGCCTGACCTACTTCACAGGGCTGGTTGTGAGGATAACAGCCATGCTGGGTCTCTACTGGGGAGAAATGTGGGGTATAAATGAAGTAAAAAACCCTCCTGGTTAGGCCTCTTTCTATTGCAGACCCCCTATTCACACTCCACAGTGTCCTCAGGGGTCCACTAAACCAAGGGGGGCATTTTGGGAGGCAAAGCAGACTACAGAGGGAGGAGGGAGGCCAGAAAGTTGCTTTCAAGAGTGTTGTTGCATTTGCATAATTTTGTTTTATTTACTTCATTTATACTCCCTGCCTTTTTCCCCCAATGGGGGCCCCATCATTCACCCCTTTACCATTTTATCCTCACAATCACCCTGTGAGGTAGGATAGGCTAAGAGTGTGACTGGCCCAAGATCATCCAGCAAGCTTCCATGGCAGAGATCTGGGATTCCCAGATCCTAGTCTGACACTCCAACCACTACACCACACTGGTTCTTGATAATATAGGAGCCAAGCCATTGCATCCATGTCAGACTCCGTAAGGATGGCTGCTTTTCCCCCTTGCAAAAGGAGCTACCAGTAAATTAATTTTTGTATCAGGGACTAAGTTTTTAAAAATACAGAACTTGTTCTAATTTACGCATTCTGGAGAGTTTGGTGTTATAAACCCCCCATCCTCCATAAACGGGAAACAGTAAACTAATTTTTAATTATTAATTTAATTAGAAGTATTGTTTTTTATTTGATACAAGTGGAGACTCACAAGTCAGGCAGTATCAAGTCACCCAGAGGGTGCTGCTATGCCTAAGATTGCCAGCCTCCAGGTGAGACCTGGAGGTCCCCCCAGAATTACAACTGAACTCCAGACAAGAGATATCTGTCCCTCTGGAGAAAATGAGTGGGCTCTATGGTATTCTATCTAGGTGAGGCCTCTCCTCTCCCCAAACTCTGTACTCCTCAGATTTCACCAGGAATCTCCCAACCTGGAGCGGGTAATCCTAGTTCCAGGCCTGGCTCCAACCCCCCTGCTATTTAGCCATTCATACTGCAGGAGGAATCCTCCCCAATCCCAGATCCAGTTCTACTTTTTGCTTCCTTCCCTCTCTGCATGTGTGGGTCTCTCTCTGGCTATCAGGCAGTTTATCACTATCGATAAAGTGAGGCCTGGAGTAGATCCCTGCGGCGGCCATTTCAAAAGGTATTTGGGGGAGACTCAATCCTCCCCAAGTTTTTTTTTAAACTTTTTGGATTTTTCTGCAGAACCATAGAGACCCCTGAGTCTCTAGAAAACCCTTTTGGGGGAGAGTGTGCCCCCTATCTGAGGAACTAGGTATCTGCACACCAAGGGGACTGTTGAGAATTAGATATATAGATTATTTTGTTCTCTTCACAAGCCACCAGAGTGCTTTGTAAGCAGGACAGTGGGATAGCTGTCTTTCGAATACATCATCAGATTTCTTTTGCTGGTTTTTTAATAGGACACAAAACTCCATTCTGACAAATTATGAAGCTAAATCCCTCTGACAAAAGACGTTTTCCAATTATGATCCTTACTGAGGG